CTAAATTTTGCTTTTAGAAATTGCTATATTTCTTTTCTTGAGCATGAAATGTTACAAAACGAGGAATGACGGGATATAAAACTGACTTTTGTTACACTTTTCTGAAAGTTTTCGTTAGTCCTTCAAAATTAAAAAGACAGGTAAATTATAAATTACTGAATCTTTGTAAATCTCTGTAACATTATTATTACATGGTGGTATAATCACCTTTTCCATTTGACAAATTTTCATGTTTTAAAGTTATGATAATAAAATAATATTTATATTGTATACTGACTAGAATAGTAACTTTCATTGTTCAATTTTATCAATAATATTATCGCAGAAATCCCCATAAGCTTTTACCATCTAGTAAAAAAGTATCTACAGTGCAATCCTACTGATGATATTTTAATTGTTTTTCATTTGTACACTTCTTTTAAGTGTCAATCCAAAACAAATAATCTTCATACATTAAAACTCACTTTTCTTGCTTAAATGACTCAGATCAATATTTTTATTTTAGAGAGAAATGGTTTCAACTTAAGGACGTTAGTAAATTCAGAGCAAAAATGCACATAAGGGAGCGGTCATAAACTATTGTGTGTGTGTGTGTGTGGGGGGGAGTGGAGGGGGTCGGTATTATCTGTAAAGCAAGGGCTCAAGAATTTTAGCCCTTCGTAGGTTAACAGTTAAAAATCCTGCCCCTCCAAAAATGTGTGCCCAAAATATTGTAACCCTCCCCTGTAATAACATTTTGAGTATACGAATGTTGCACTGCGAGAATCCATATGAACGTAACTTTGAGACAATTTTTTCATTGGAGTAAAAAATAGTGTTAGTATCATTTACAATATATACCAAACCCAAAGTTTCACCAAGTAAAGAAAACCATTGACAGCCCCCACTGACACTTCTTGTATTCCTGCCTTCTGCTCCCCTTGAAGAGTGAGTAAATTGTGCACAAGAACTTATCAGCGAATAGCAAGAGAAAAATTGACTTTATTCAAAGAAAGTCCGCAGCTCTTGCTCTACCCCTCCAGGCCCTGCAAGTTCGGCCATATCGCATGGTCTGTAAAAGATTCCGAGAATTATTTTCCTCCTGGGCCGATTCGTCTTCCTCTTGGTTATCATTAGAATCCTCTTCGATTCATCATCACTACCATTCTCTCCGATTTCCTCCGAGACATTTCATTTCAGTTGAGATAAGTGAGTCTATGGACAGGAGCGCACTTGTTGTTCCTTCGTGGGTAATTACTTTTGTTTTTGCTAACAGTCTATGCGACTGTTATGGATTCTTAAGCAAAAAAAGGCGAAGCATGTGGCCAGAACAATTGACATCCTCAAGAAGGTTGCGCCAGATTTACCGGAGGGAAAGACTTGTGAGAAGGAGGATTTGTGTAGAGACATCGTCAAGAAACTTGGAAAAAGAGAACAGAAATGGGCGGTAGCGCGATGATGACGAAAGTAGTGACAAAGACGACAGAAGTAGCACCAATGACAACAAAGACAGTGAAAGAATAGTGATGACGGGGCCGATGATAATGATGCCACTGAGCAATGTCAGGAGGAGGAATCAGGAAATGCCTTTGATAGCCTTTTATAGTCACTTGGATAACCTATATTAGCTATCTAAACCTTATTACTGGGAAATATAAGCTGAATGCTGTTACTTCAAGCCAACTTCCACAGGTCGATAACCGCCCGTTTCCTCACAAAATGACTTTTCGGGTTGTGGCTTCGCTGGTTCAGTCTCGTTGGCTCAAGCATGGCTATGTATGTTTATCACCGCCCGTTCTTCATAAGGAAGGATCTAACTATCTTCATAGATATTAATTCAAATCTAGGACCGCCTAATTGCTTAAGCTGTCTTTATCTGAACGCTAGAAGTCTAAAGGCCTTTGTTCCATCTAGTGTTGACCCATCGGTCAAGGTCTGTAAGATCTCCTAGTTTCAGGACCTGGTATACACTGGTATCCTATGATCTGGTTTGTATTTGCGAAACATGGCTTAATGACACGGTGTTAAGCACCGAACTAATTCAAGGTTATTCAATCTTTCGACGAGATAGGGCTTGTAAGACTGGTGGTGGTGTCCTCATCGCTGTTAAATCAGATCTGCAAGCCATACGCTGTGACGATCTTAGCCTGCGTAGCAAACGTTTCCCTTTGGTTTCGGAGCAAAAAAGATCGTGGAAGGAGACTTTCGGTTTTGACCGCGCGAGAAATGAAACGAGAACAAAAAAATGAAAGAGTGGGGAGGGGGAGAGGAAGGAAGGAAAGGTTTCCTTCCTTTCTTCCCCACCCCCTCCCCGCTCTTTTACTTGCGCCATTTTTCGCGCGGTCTTTGACTCTTGTTCCTCATTCTTTGCTCCTAAACCGCACAAAAACGCTTGCTACGCAGGCTATGACGATCTTGAAAGAGACAACACCGAAATGGTAGCTGTTGAAATATTTACAAGCAGCAAGCCACTTATCCTTTTCACGTTTTATCGCCCCCCAGACTCGAACAACGTCGATTTACTCCGACCTATTAAATTCATTTTTGAGGGGCAACACTGAATCTAGTTGTGCGTTAGTAGTTGGCGATTCAACATTCCCGCCTTGGACTGGACGGATTCATCTTCTCCTGTCAATATTGGAGGTAATGCAGCTGGTGATAATTTTTGTGACTTAATAGGAGACAACTTCTTAGTTCATTTCGTTGACGGTCCAACCCATATCGCTGGAAACAAACTTGATCTTGTTCTGTGCAATTGTCCTGAAGTAATCGAAGGTGTTTCTACACACAGCCCGGGAGTGAGCAAATTTCCATCAGACCATTATATTATCGATTTCTCGATTAGAGTAAAGCTTCATCGAGCAAAACTGGTACGCCACAAAGTCTACGACTTTAAAGAAGGGAACTTCGCCGAACTGCATAACTCACTAGAGCACGTTCCTTTTGCTTTTTCTGAAAACATTGACGAGTACTGACTCACCCGGAAAGATTTCTGACTGCTGTCTCTGAGTGTGTTCCTGTTAAAACAGTCAAAGACCCTAACTCACCTTCTTGGATAGACTCTGAAGCTCGACATTGTCTGCTTATTATCCTATGCTGATCCGACGTCAAGGTTAGAAAATCCTTGTACCTGGCACTGGTGAAGTCCCAAATGAGCTGTGCAACTGAAGTGTGGTCTCCCAGCCACCCAACTTTAAAGCAGAAAGCTGAAAGAGTTCAGAGAAGAGCTACACGCTGGATTCTACAAATCAAGCAAGGTGAACTGTCCTACAAAGAGAGACTGATCCATCTGGATCTGCTACCGCTTACCTATGACCGCGAGGTCAAGGATTTAGTATTTCTTTATAAGGCCTTATATGGCTATATTGATATTGATATTAGTTTTATTAAGAGTGTTAGTCACGGCCATACTCGACGATCTCAATCAATTGATATAAAGTATTTGGAAACGCTCTTCTTTAAATCAGCTACCTATCAGTCCTCCTTTTTTAATCACAGTATTTAATTATGGAACCAAATATGTAACTTAATTCAGCCCAGTGACTTTCTAAACATAAATACTTTTAAGAATAGTATAACTAACTTGTACAAAGATGAATTAGGAAATGTCTTTGACCCCGATAAACCATGTTCATGGGGTCTTGCATTTAATTGTGGGTGCCACTGGCAACAATAGTTTAATAAGCATTTCTTAAGATTTTTACTGATTTAGTTGGGAGGTGCCCTGCATGGGACTCCAAGTCCCCTTTGCACCTTACCTTTTGGTCTTTTTTTTTTTCGTTACTGTAACTATTTATTTGGAGAGACTCAAACTAATAAAGTTGATAAAACAAAACAAAACTCAGACACTGCAATGGAAGCACACGAAAATAGCAGTTCAGATGACACTGGGCCCCTACTGGAACACATTCAGATCAGCGCTCCTTACTATTGCCTATTGATTAGTCGTTACATCCGGTCTTCACTGCACATTTGTATACTGTACATATCAAAAACTATGTCGCATTTGTTGAAAAAGAAAAACAATCTGTTTCTGTTACTGTTTAAGACTGACTGAGGTTTGTAAAAGAAGGCTGAGGATAAACTGGACCACTATGAGTCAAGTTAAGTTAAACACTAAAGGGCTATGCGCGCAAGAAACATTGTTACCACAGAGCAACAATGTTTTGCGACAAGTTGAATTCTTGATTTGGTCTCGCATTTCCTGCCTTTCGTAATGGCATTGTAGCATTCCAGAAATTAATTATTAGAATAAAGTAAATCGAGTGATGTTCATAAACTTGTTATGGATGTGGGCCTTTTTAAAGCCGCAATCAAACGATGTTGGTAGTGAAAAGTAAAAATTATATTGCCATTAAACTTTGCTGCTGAGAAAAGCGATTCCTCCTCAAGATTAGCTTCCACAACTGTCAAAATATACCAAAAACACAAAACTACAGATCGAGTACCAGTCATAATATGAAAAATACATTTTCAGCTATCATTTATATCATCAACTATCGGTGCACTTTGATCAGGGCCCGTTTTAAGAAGACTTTCATGAAATGATCTGCAAATCAGATGTATTATAATACAGGAAAATCAAATGACGATCATGTTGATTAAAAAACAAAGCCAAACTAAAACCGTGCGCTGTTTTCAAAGCCATTTCAAACTCAAGCAAATTACAAGCGATTCCGCGTGAAGTCACTCCTCATCTCCAGCCAATCAGAGTGCTTTTTAACCGTGCGATTCAGCTTTGAGTATGCAATTCTGTTAATATAACTTGCACGGCTATCGTATTTTAAACAATACTTAATGTTTCAGTAACACAAAACCCATTAGTACGCGCACATCGCCCAAAGCCGCCCGGAAATTGTAACCCTTCCCTATATGCAGGCCCAGAAAATTTTAGCCCTCCTCAAATGGGCGCCCACAAAATCGCAACCCTCCCCCAAAATTTACCGCCCCCCCCTCCTCCAATAGTTAATGACCGCTCCCTAAATTGGCATGACTAGAAACTCCTGTGCTTGTCTATTTATCTACAGTTCCTTTTCACAGCAGTTGCTTAGTGCCCTTCTTTCAATAAACTCATCTTCCATCATCCACAGGTGAAAACGCATTTCCTTCAGAAAATTCCGAAAACCTTTATGACGTTTCCCTGGAAAGTCTCTTTTCATACGCGCATCATCAAGTTCAGCTTCAGCATCCTGCTTATCAGTGCGAAATGGACCATATGCATGAACTTGTAGCTCATATTTTGCTACATAGTGTCGCAACACAATAAACTGTTCTAGCCAATCATCTACTCCATCCGTAATAAGCTTTCGAGGGTCACTTAGCTTCTTGTGCTGTTCTTGAGTTAGTGTGTCCTCCATCTGTTTTAAATGTTTTTTTAGTTTTCCTGTTCAATTGAGAAAAAAATAATGCATAAGAGTTAGACATTGATAGTCTCCTTTTTGCACTTAATTGTTGGGTCATTCCTTTGTTCAGTTGGAAAATAATACTACAGGTAGATATCTAGTGGTAAACGTCAACATCAATCATTTCCTGCCTGTGAGCTGTATATTTCTCAACATGTCATGCCTGATGCAGTTTGTTGATGAAAATAATAAACCAAAGCAGACTGTCTCACCAATGTTGTGACCAGTGTTGTAGCTATCATCCGGAGTCTCTTTGTTGGAATCACTGGCGGATATTGAAGTCTCTGGATAACAAAAAAGATTTTTATTAATAGTAAAAAGAATCTTCGGTAACTTTTTTGATGTTATTATCCAGTTTCGTTTAGAGGAAGAAAAGTTTGGCAACCAAGTGTATAGCAGTTCATGTGAGGCGCTTTTTCTATGACGCTACATTTCAGTCGGTACTTTACAGCATGTTACAAACTACATGTAAGCCCCTAGGCATAGCTATTCTTCTGTTCACGTACAATACTCATGGTTACACTGAATTTAAACTGTAATGTTAATACTCGGTAAATAATAATAATGATAAAAATAATAATAATAATGAAGATGTAAATAATAATAATTAATAGTAATGGTAATAATAATATATTATAATACAGTTGAACCTGTCTCCTCAATGGCCACCTTGGGGACAGAAGAAGGCGGCCGTTGCAGACAAGTTTAAACAAGAGCCAATGTATGGAATGTCTGTGTAAAAAAGTGACCGATGTAGATGGGGGACTATCGCGGAGAGGTGGGCATCAGTGCAGGTTCAACTGAAGTCATTATTTATACTGCAGAAAATCATCACAATGTTTTCAAAAATGCCTCAACAATGTTTACATTAATCAAAAAACTCAAATCAAAAATTGCATTTCAACTAGGTTTAAAGAATGCAATCAAACCATTTTTCTACACTAAACCACAGCCAAAATAAAACACTAACTAGTAAATGTACATGCCAGGAATCACTGAGTCTTCTGGGAGATACTCTGCCCCTCCTGTGCCAATGTAATCTAATGCTGGGTCCCCTGACAACAATAACATATTAATCTGGTAAGATTCCAAGGAATGTCCACAATTTTAAATTATAATTATTATTATGAGTATAATGTTAGTGAAATAATCTGGGGGATCCAATGGAAGTTGTACGTAAAGTATACTCAGTCATGTAATACACAAATAGACCGCTGATTACTCAAAAGCAGCTCATTTCTCTTAGAATATTTATTGTTCAATTATGAAGTAATACAGAGGGTGGCTTTGTGGTAGACTGCTATTCCAAATGTCCTGTTTTCTTCTCTTCCTTTTGGCTGGGTGGACAGATAAGGATGACTAAGGTACATGACTATCACATGCTAACTTCTTAGTTTGTTAAAATAACACCTGTTTTAAAATAAGTGAAGTTTTTGATGGTTCAGTCTTTATGAATAAAGAGAACATATGGACCTCTGAACAAAAACCTAATGCCCAGTGTCCTTATAGTGGATTGAATCACCTTAATTTATTGCAGGACACTCAAGGCAATCAACCAAATGGACACCAGGCTATAATTTATTATCTAGGTTTAAGCTTTGTCCCCGCAGAACCAAAGAGAAACCATCCTACAGCTGTATATCTGTACACTTAGTTCTATCCAGGCAATTAATGTTGCGACGATCATCCAGGTTAATTGTCCTGCATCATAGTTTTTTTCATCTTGATTGCCTGCGCACATTTTGAAATGACTTGGGGGAACCAGGACAATCCCAAAAATGTTTAGGAAACCGGAAGTAAAGGGGAGATAACGCAAAGGCTGCCTCACCATACTGTAGCGACTTTTTAACCAGTATTCTAAGCACTTCCCACTCTTTGGGTTGGTAACCAAGATTAAAACAAATTCGTAACGTTAATAAAGGAAGAAGCCGTGGTGATGCAAGAAGCTAGTGAAAGAAAAGAAAAATATTAAATTGAAAAACAAGTTTACTGAGTAAATGAAAGGGTTAGAATTTAATGGCTCTACTTAATGTAGTTGTCAACTTTGCTGTCTCGTATGTAGAGTTAAGCTAAATACAAACAGACACAACATTGTTGGCTAACAACTCCCAACATTGTTGGATGTTACATGTTGCGTCCGTTTGCACACCCTGTTGCATGTTGTTGGATGTTGTTGCGTGTTGTTGTGCAAAATTTGAAACCGGTCAAACTTTTAACCCCGTGCAAACAGGTGCAACCATGTTGGCCAGCAAGTCCCGACATTGTTGGGAGTCGGTTGCGTCCGTTTGCATGTAGCGTTACACTAAGTTACCATGCAGGGATCAATTTATTTAAACGTTTACAATTGTAGTTTACAAGTGAAACTATTATTTTATGGCCTTAAAACAATAGCTTCACTTGTAAATTGCACATGTAAAAGTTTTATTAAATTGACCCCAGTAGTACCGATCTTGTATGGGAAAGTGGTTCATACGAAATCTTATACCCAGGACCACCAGCTATATCAGCTAATAGTTGAGTTACACTTTTGCTATTCATAACACTCGTGATGATATGCGAAAGTAAAACGCGAAAAATAAAATACTTCCGAGGATTGAACGCACGCAGGTACGTGCACGAGGCTATAACAGAACTATAAATACAGGATTAGAGCAGAACACTCCTTTCTAGCTTAGTTTCTAGCCAACGGAGCAGTCAAGAAGGGATCGGCCCACCCGCCCATCCCATTTGTCTACACAAAATTCGCGTGAGTCTTTCAACACTGCTACCCTAGGCCAAGCTGTTCCAGCCTGGCTTAGACCGCTGAGCAATATTATGTCCATATCTCATTTAAACTAAGTATGAATGAGAGTGTTGTGAAGTAGATTACTGTTCATTAAGAGAAAATACGTATTCATTTGCGTGAAACGGCGACCAATAGCGCGAAGATACATTCATTAGCGCGAAAAAAACAAACATTTTCACATAAATCAGATTCACTAATGATGTTTGCATTTTAATTAACATTCAATAACATTCTTGGGCATTCATTTGCGTCATTCGACATGCAAAAGAGAAAAATATACTTTTATTAACGGCAACACGAAAGTCATTAACACCATCTTGAAAGTCAATAGGGACAACAGACAAACATTAAAAAGCAAACACTATTCATTAACATTTTTATGAAACTGTTTGCAATTCAATAGCATTCCTGTATAACCTAAGGATGGATAAGACAGACTTAAATGCGCTTGTACAATCAACTGAGCGTTCTTTACATTTTAAATGCAAAAATCGATTTTCAATTAAACAATACAAAATTTTAAAAAACAATTCACCAGAATTTTTGCGCTACCTGGTTTAAAGAACCATGACTTTCTGCGCCACTGTGTTCGACGACTGCGGCTATACATTTTCCATTTGCACGGCCATAAGTCATGGTAGGGAGCGTCAGCGAAAGAGGGCGTACTGCCAAGTGTGAAACTTGACTACATGTATGACCATGGCAATACATGTATCATCTATCAATGTTTTCCTCAGCAGCAACTGGCAAAATAAATGCTGTGTCGGTTTTTCGGTGACTTCCTCTCACGGGCGAGCAAAAATATGGATACCGACGAGTGGGTGATTCTTACGCATAAGGGAGTGCCGGCCCACCAAGATCTGGCCATTCCCGCCCCATAGTTTGCTCCCCACCCTCGACATTGCGGCGACAATCGAAACCGACATCTCGAGTCCCGAAATTTAAAGATGTATGGATAACACGAATGAGTCCAAAGCCCAAGAAATCCCACTAGGGGAATTTTGCACACGACAGGTGCTTGGATGCTCTGCACAGAAAGATTGACAATATGACCGCAGCTAAATGTGCTAAGGGGTATACCATCTGTTTCATGCAAACCTGCCTGCCAAAATGTTTAAATAGAGAGATTTGAGGGATATACATTTAATATAAAATTTCTTTGAAATTCTATTGTTTAAGTGAAATTCTATTTTTGTATATTAAATGCAAAGAACGCTCTTGTACAAGCGCATTAATGTTTGTCTTATCCATTCTCAGGTTGTCCAGGAATGCTATTGAATTGCAAACAGTGTCATAAAAATGTTAACGAATAGTGTTTGCTTTTTAATAGCCTGTAGTGCAGGCGTTTTCTTTGAGCGCGCAATTTGCTCGCGAAAGCGCGATGTTGATACTTCCAGAAGAGAGGAGGAGATGAGGCAAATCAAAGGAAGCGGGGAGGGGGCGGGGAGAGAGAAGAGAAACCTCCCCCCTTTCCTTCTTTTGCCCTCGCACCTACCGTAAGGGTTACTATTTCTACTCTCCCCAATCTTCCACTGTCATAAAATCAAAGATGGCGGCTACAACAATCAGTTACGCCGCGAACAGGGTTTCACCCACCCAAAATACGCCTGCACTGCAGGTTAGCTTTTTAATGTTTGTCTGTTGTCCCTTTCTGTTGACTTTCGAGATGGTGTTAATGACTTTCATGTTGGCGTTAATGAAAGCATATTTCTCACTTTTGTATGCCGTATGACGGATATGAATGCCCAAAAGTGTTATTGAATATTGATTAAAAATATATATGCCAAATTCGTAATAGAATCTGATTTATGCGCAAATGTTCGTATTTCCCCGCTATTGGTGGCCGTTTCAAGCAAATGAATGCGCATTTTCTATCGATAAGTTTCAATTCTGCTCAGTTTAAATGTTACTCTTACAGACCGCGTGGTTCCAGAGGGGTCATCAGTTCCCTATAAAGATGGAAAATCCAGGGAGGCGGTGGTGGTGGTGGTGGTTCCTAAGTGAAATTCTTCTCTGTGATGGGGGTGTGGATATTCTAGTTCTGGAACCACACGACAAAAAAATAAATGATTTCCCTGTCCTATTGCAGAATAAATGGCTCCAGTGCCCTAACACTTACTGTTAGCTTATATACTCTTACAAGAGTATATACCCTCCTTGGTGCTGCTCTGAATCTTTCAAAGAATAAATGAGGATTTTGTTTTTTCCTTGGAATATTGCCCTCCATTACACAGCATTTAAGTGGGGTAATTGCTTTACTTGATGTGGCAGTGCATGAGTTGTTGAAAACTTTTGAATTTTTTACCGGTAACCAAAGTTGCAACACTGTTAATATAAGCAGGTCGTAGTTAGCGCTTCCAACCTTCGAATTAACATGACTATAAAGTAACCTGAGGTAACAGTAGGCAGCTGAATATTTGGTAAACTACTTAGGACACAACTGTTTAAGTAAAAGATGATATACTTACCTCATCAATGGTTCCAAATATTGCTTGTGAGAGGAATATCAGAAGAGACCTTGGGTAGCCATATCTTTTACATATGTCTGTACAGCTCATCCAGTGGGCGGTGTCATTGACACGAGGTGGAATTTTAGCTGTAAGGGCAGACAGTAAATCTTGAGCAAAAAGTGTAGTTGACTGCTGATTGGGAAATAATACTTTATAACCAAATATTATCGTAGTCTGAAGTCATACGTCTTCACCGTCTAACCCATGAGGGGTGTGGGGAAGAGAAAGTTTCTCTTCCCTGCACCCCCAAAAGGTTAAGGGGTAGAGACTTATGACATTTCAGACTAATGCTACTATATAAAAAAAATTATGTACAGTTGTGTTTTCTCCTTACTCAAGGGTTAAGAGAAAAAAAACTGTAGGCAAGCATAAAAGTTAACATAACTCATTAGAATGAACTGGAACCGTGACTTTGAGTTTGCATGCATGGTTACACTATTATATTTCCAAAAGTGTGTTTGGAAAATTTAAAGGCCTCAAGAAACTGTCACTAGTTATAATAATTGACAAATTTCTCCTTTATTTCACGAGCAGTTACAAGGCAATAAATGTATGCATTATATTATTTGGGATTTGATGAATTTGAAAAAAAAAACCAACACTTACGTTCAAATATGTGGCTCATAGCTTGTCCAAAGCTCAGAACAAGTACCCACAATGCTGGGTTGTAGTACCAGCATATGAGTTTAAAGGCATTAAAATACTTCAAATGAGGTACAGGTTCAGTGTGGTCCCAACACTCGGTACAGTTGATGTTTCCTGGTAATGAATTCTTCACTGCCATTTGAAAAGTTAGGTTTGCGAGAATATAAAGAATTGCCATGGGTAACAGCATGAATGGCTGAAAGAAATGGGCCAGCACAACTTACTTCAACTTCAACTTTCAACTTTATTTAAATTTGAAAATATAGCAAAAGATACATTGGGACTGGCCTGCAGTTAGCGAGGCTATTTGAGGCAGGCCAGGCTACATAATTTACAACAAACTAGACAAATACAAAGAAATTAGGCGTTATATAACTATATACATTTTACATTAAATAGATACGTTCTACTTAAATGCAAGGACAATAATTAAAGTGAAATTTTAAAAATAAAATAAAATGAAAATAAAGGACAAGAGAATTACTTTTTCATTTTCACGATGATCGTATCCAAATCAATATAGGAGTCTTCAGTTTCAAGGAAATCGAGTAGCATTTCTTTTAGTGATCTTTTAAAAGCTTTTTTCGGTCTTTCTTTAAGAATTTGAGGTATCCCATTCCAAATTTTGACCCCAACACGCGAAAAAGCATTTCGTTTGACATTGAGTCGAGATTCTTTACCATAAAAATGTTCAGAGGTTGAGCGGCACGGGTGTTGTAAGTATGAACACTAGAAATTCGAGAGAAGAGTTTCGAAATATTAACCGGAGCAGTGTTTTTATTTACATCATACATAAGACTACAAACGGATTCATAATATAGAGACTGTAAAGGTAGAATTTTTGCATTCACAAAAAAAGGTATTGCGTGGTCGTTTGTTTCAGCAAAATATATTAAACGCAGTGCGCGTTTTTGAAGGACAAGAATTTGGTCGAGGAAAGTTTTACACGCGTTGCCCCAAGAGATAAGACCATAAGTTAGATAAGGTGTAATAAGTGACTGATAAATATTTAAGAGGGTGCAAGTGGGAACAATATGTCTTAATCTCGCAATTAGCCCAATTGTTTTACTTATTTTATTTGCAACAGAGTGAATATGGGTCTTCCA